TCGCTGTAGGCTGACAGGAACTGGTAAACTAGTTGGTTTTGAGGATTGAAAAAAAAAAAAAAAGGGCATGTTTTCTCAGGGCGCACTACTGTCTCTGTCTCTTATACACATCTAGATGTGTATAAGAGACAGGTTCTTAGCAGTCCCCTCATTTTAAGTTTCAGGCAGTCTCGCTGTAGGCTGACAGGAACTGGTAAACTAGTTGGTTTTGAGGATTGAAAAAAAAAAAAAAAGGGCATGTTTTCTCAGGGCGCACTACTGTCTTCACCCGAATAGAAAGCCCTGTCCTTATCAAAGTATGTGGTCTGCAAGTTGCACCAAATACAGCTATAATGACCGGGCATTCTATTCGGGTGAAGACGCTAGTTTGCTCGTGTGGGAGGGCACATAGCTTCAACAGGTTTGTGCAATTTGGACTGCCACTCCTCCAAAGGGGAGGTGATCAGTGCAGTCTGAGGTTCCCCTGGTTGTCATGAGGGGAAGCGTTCACCGCGGGAGGGTGAGGGAGAGGCAGAGGTTGCACTGGTGCCACCCAGTGGCCCCGGGCCATTCTGGGCCAGACACATGCTCACTCAGATTATGGTTATGGGACGCTGGACTCGATTTCCAGCAGTTGGTTTTGAGCAGTTTGCTTTTTTTCAGAAATGTCTGTGCTTTTGCAAGCCGAAGCTGGGTAATGGCCGCGGTATCTCAATTGAGTTCTGGATATTTCGGTTCCATATGGGCCTGTTTCCGAGCGTGTGCTGCTCCTTATGAATAAATCGGATCTTTGTTTCTCAGAAACAAAAAAAACAGAAAGAACCATTCGCATGAACACACGATCTCGACTTGCGGTTGTATATGGAACTCAACCGATCCTCACCAGAATAGAATGCAGCCGCGACCTCAAGGCTCTGTTTTCTCTTAACGGGAAAATGGAAGGTCTTGTTTATTGGTGTGGGGTCCGCGGGGTTCTGGTCCACAAGCAAACGAAGGCTGAAATGGTGTGGCAATGATGCCACCTTTGAAAGGTCAAGAGGAGGAGCATAGAGATCCGAAGAAGTAGAAGACGATCCGACAACCGTCCGCAAGCATCTGCGACTTAGGCACACGAAAGAGATTACATACAAAAAATTATGACTGCAATTCACTCATGAGAGACGACTCAAGAGAGAAGAGTCAGAAGAGTCAGAAGAGTCAGAAGAGTCAAAGAGACAGAAAGACAGGCATAATTTGCACTGATCTTAGATGCGAAAAAAAGATCCGAATGAACAGTAAGAGAGGTAGCCCGTTCACTCCATCCTTGCGATCTTTGTAAAATCGCCGGTCATTACCGCGCCATCTCATCCCGTCTAGCTCTGCTGGCGATCCCCTATACCAATATTTCAGCCGGTGCCAGATCCGACCTCATCAGGGGGGTTTCTTTTTTTTTTTCTTCTTAAAAAAAAAAAGGTCAATACATTTCAGGCAACTAAACATGGGGCATTGGATGGAGCTCCCCGGTCTGGCCCTTCACCCAGTTCTCGGCTGATGGATCCGCTGCTTGGCCTTTAACTCAGGTGTCATGCCATTAGCTGGATAGGGAGACGGACGTGGCATTTCTTGAGCCTTTTTTTTTTTTTTGCGTCAAAAAGGCTAATTCTTCTTTAAGCCCAACCAATTCGATTACCTTTCGAATCTGGACAGGATGGCCTTTCAGGCCTTTTTTTTATTGTCATTAATACTCATTATAGTATTATGGGCTTCTTTCTTTTTTCGAGTGTTGGCTGTCAAGGGGGAGGGGGGGGTAGGGATAGATTGGTTTTTCAGGGGCTAAAGGAGTTTAAACTTTAAAGGGAGGTGCCTTAGCCTGATTCTGTTGTTTTCGTTTTTCAGCTTTGATCCCGTGAGGATTTATTTTTTTTTTTGTTTATTTTTTCCCCTAAAACACGTCTCTGATGTGACCCTTGGCCAAAATGTCGTTTGCATTGCAATTCTACACAGCATTTTTTTTCCCCCGGAATTTTTTTCTTTTTTTCTTTTTTTTGGTGGCTGCCTGGAACCCTGCCCGGGGTTTTCGTGCCTGGCCAGGCATCGGGGCATGTCTCCGGGCCCAAGTTGGGTGCCCAGGCACCCTCCCAAACAGCCTATATGAAAAGTGAGTCCTTAGTATCATCTTCACATGCTTGCAGTCTCCTTTAGCTCAGCTAATAGCTCCAAGCTTCAGCAGCTGACGTCAGGCGATAGGCTACTGGGCGGCTGTGCTCATATCACCCCGCCTAGTACGCTCAAGGCCAGTTTCAAAACAGCAAAGAAAAAAAGGAAAAAAAGGAGGGGTAACAAGGGCGCAGTTGCGATTTCAGTTTTAAATCCACTTCACATATCTCTCGAATACAACACATCCCCACCCGACCCTACATTCACAATTTTCCTCGCTTTGCAACAGCGCATCATTTTCAAACTGAAACCGTGATTGCACCCTAGTTTCTCCCCTCTCCCCCCCCCCCCCCCCCCCCCCCTTATTTTGCTTTCTTGATTAGGTCACCGGTACCCTACCCTCGCCTTAAACCTCGGTTAGGGTTCTCTTAGGGTTTTTGTAGGGTTT